TCAATACTCATGATATATCTCAATTTACCTCACCCCAAACAAGCTAGAACATAATGGAGTATCTGAGTGCCGACATAGATATATTGTGGAAACTAGTCTTGTGTTACTTCATTAATCATGGATACCAATTACTTATTATTGGTCTTCCGCATTTTAGATGACATTTAATGAACCTTCTACCCTTCCCCACATTCCCACACCATAAAACGGTATCCTTTATTCCCATTTCTGTGACTAACATCCCGATTGTATAAACATGACTACCGATAAGCGTTTTCATAACGGGTTTTATACAATGATATTTAAACTGAAATCATTTGACGACCTTCCCGATTGAATTTTTGGCTGAAATTTGGTATGGGTGAACTAGACTTGATGATGAACCTACACAAAAAATTTGAGCAAAAAATACCACCGGGAAGACCCCCAAATGGAGAAGTCCGGACGGGGGGAGTGGTCCGGCCTGGCCGGACCTGAATAGTTCTGTATATATATATATATATATATATATATATATATATATAGAGAGAGAGAGAGAGAGAGAGAGAGATAGAGAGAGAGAGAGAGAGAGAGAGAGAGAGAGAGAACTTTTCATGTCCAGCCGGCCTGACGGGAACTGCCGTCCGGCCGAGGGAATTTCGGGCAGTTCCCGGTGGACTTTTTTGATGAAATTTTTTGAGCATGTTCTTCATGAAGTCTAGTTTATACATACCAAATTTAGATAAAAATTCAATCGGGAAGGCATTCAAATAATTTCTTGAAGTTAACTGGGCAGTTCGTACATATAAATTGCCCAGTTAACTTCAAAAAATTATTTGAATGCCTTCTCGATCGAATTTTGAGCTGCAATTTGGTATGGATAAACTAGACTTGAAGAACATGCTCAAAAAATTTCATCAAAAAATTCCATCGGGAAGTTCCCGAAATGCCCTCAGCCGGACGGCGATTCTCGTCAGGCCGGCTGGACAAGAAAAGGACTCTCTCTCTCTCTCTATATATATATATATATATATACCCAATTGAATATTGTGGTTTTTACAATGTCCTAGTCTTCAATAGGATTATCTTTAGATGAATGTAAACCATGACGAGATTTACACACATAGTTAATCACAATCTCGCTGTCGTAATAGGAGTTAGAATATTGTAGAGACATTACACTCATAAGAATTGGTGAAAGAACATATATTCGCTGCTAGGAGTCATTTACAAGTAATCTTGAACCCTTAATTGCTTTTATTATCATTTGAAAACTAAAATCCCTACTATTTTTCTAAATTCATTTCCAGAACTCTTTCCGACTTTGAACCATATAAATAACATTTCCTTGTGTTCGACTTGGTATTTTTACCGGATTTTATTACTACATTGTCACTTGTACACTTGCAAGTTTTAGCCGATCAACTACATCCCTTTAACTCTATTATAGTGATGTCGCAGTCCGAAATGTGTGTATTATTTGTGAATTCCATGTCTCAGTCTTCCCACGTCTGTTTCAACCTCCTCACTAGCCGTGTCTATATCTTTCAACATGTTCGATTTATATTACCTTTTTTTTCTTTTCAACACAAATTGGACTGACCTTTCCATATAATATCCTATCTCACCTAGCATTGAACCAACCAATGTGAAACAAGCTTTCAATAACCCTAAATGGAAGTCCCTAATGGATGTTGGATTTGGTGTTGTTAAATGGAATCATAAGTAGGATCTTGCCCCACGTCCGATTCAGCCACCTATTTCGTGTTAGATGACATGCATGTGGATTGGAGTGTTAGACGACTAACTGCTCATGGTTATTTAAAGCAACTCGAGGGGCTACTCTAAAACATTCAACTTAGTGACAAAACCTGTTTGTATCATTCTCACAATTGCCCTCTCAGGAAAATGGAATATTTGAGGAAGTGTATATGATTCAATTTCTTTGATATATTGATTCTCAAGCCCACCTCATGTTTGTGAGTTATGGATATTCTTATATAACCTTAAGCATGCCCTACAAGTGTGACATTCTAAATTCCCTAAATTCCTCATCTCTATGGGTTTTTGCAAATTCAGATCTAGCTGGCTATTCTCTATTTATTCTCATGGGGGTGTCATCGATCGGGTTTAACCTGTAAATATTCAAGTGTTGTTTTTTGTAGTAATAAATATCAAGCTTTTATACCCTTTGACTTGTGTTTTCTATTTCACCCCGTATTTAAAAGATCACTACATTAGGCTTTGGCACAATATTTAAAAGGAAAATAGTATGATAATGGATTGTGTAGATAAACTAGTCTAGAAGGTGGAAAAGTAGGAAAGAGAAAATAAGAAGTACTAAAATAAGGATAATTGAATACTCTCTCCTTTTCTTAATTAAGTTCCTGGTTTGAATTCACGGGTTTTAAGATGGAAAATTATTTGGTTTTGACTTTCCACAAATACCCCTGAATATATCTTGTTTAGCCCCCTACCCATGCGGTGAGGAGAGAGATGATGTCTGCCGGTTTTATTCAAAGCCACAAAGACCAAAAAGTACATTTAGTTCATTTACAGCCACAAATGTAAAGTTTCAGATCCCCCCTCACATATTCGAATCCTTTCCCCACCTTTTGCACATTACATTTACAAACTCCTACTACTATAAGACACCACATTGAATACACCCAACTACCTCTACTTTTACAAAAATCTTCGACTTATAAAGTCTTCTTCCAGAAATGGACAGTGAAGGGATCGGACATTCTCTTCTCAGCACCCGTGTGGTCTTTTGAACATGAATGTGGAGCCCCTACCAGATGAAGACACCATGCCCCTGCTAGAAGAAGACACCATGCTGGTGCCAGTTCTAATAGTCACTATACATGCACAACCACACACACATAGTACATACAGACAATGAAGAACAAAGCAGTCAACTCTTGAATAAAAACTGGCCTAAGTTGTCACCACAAGGCAGAAGTCGAATCATTGAAAATCTTTTGGGCCATACTTGTGAGGGAAAACTTCAGACACACATTATAATTAAGTTAGCCCATGATTTTAACATTTTCACCCAGACAGTCCAAAAATTGTGGCAAAAAGCAAAGGAGCAAATGCAGAGTGGAGAGGCTATCAATGTGCAAAGTAGGTGGAAAGGAAATGTGGGGCCAAAAGAGTAACTTTTTATCTGCAAAAAATTGCTGAAATTCCTTTACTCCAGAGAAAATATATGAGATCATTGACATTTGCAATAAGGTTTCAAAGTCAACTGTGCAAAGATGGTATAAAAGCAAGCAGATAATATGGCACTCAAATGCAATCAAGCCATTATTAACAGAAGCTGGGAAAATGAAGAGGTTAGATTTCTGTTTAAGCCATATAAAGCCTGAAACAGTCAACTTTCCCCCAACATTTCATGATTTTTATGACTACACTAACATAAATGAAAAGTGGTTCTACTTGTCAAAAGAGACCACCACTTTTTTTTCCCATAGAGCCTGATCCATATAGAACAACCTAGTCATAAACATCAAATTAAGCACTTTGAAGGATCAATGACAACAAACACATCATTTTTTTGTTAGTACATTGGATGTAGATTAACTAGGTGGTGTACTTTTTTGTTTGTACTTCTACACCCATGAGAGTACTGTTTTTTGAAGTACCCCCAAATTATTTGTGTACACTTTTAATTTAGCACAATTGGCAATGCAATCAACTTCAGACAAAAGTTTAAGTTTTACACACATTTTGCACACATTCTGGCCCCCCACTATAACCATTATAGAAATATCTCCTGCACATTCAAATTGTGGGATGCATAAAGGTAATGGTTACACATCATTCACAGTTCATTGACTAACAACAATCACAGAGGAACATTATTAATTACACAAAACAAATCCAAATTCATCACGAGTTACAAACATTGGCCAACGGACTTCACACATGAAGGCAATTCCCACAAAATCAGAAATGAAGAGATAAAGAGAACATATGTTTACTGTCCTGAATGCGTGTTGTTCAGATCAGCATGTGCAAAGCTTAGCCTTTGCCTCTTTCAGAGACCTTCATTTGTCCCTTCCGCATCGCTGCCAGTCCCGTCATCTTTTTCCTCGTCCACTGTGTCGAGCTCACTTATTCGTTGGAATCCTCGTCCAAACCCTCCAACCCATCATACATATCAGAAACCAGGTTGTCACTGTATTTCTTACGCAGTCACCATTCCGGATCTGTGTCAGATGAACTCTCCGGTCTAAAATGAATGATGAACATTCTAAATGGAAGTTTTAGATCTGATTCTGGACATGGTTTCAGATCTATAGTGGTAGCGGACGGATCAACCGGGTGAGGAGTTGGCGGTTCAGATCCACCATCTAAGGACGGAGTTTTAGTGGATCCACTAGCCATATTGTCCACTACTAGAGACTAGGACCGAATAAAGGAAAGAGGATACAACGAACAGAGAGGACGCCGGTGAGGAAAAGGCAATAACGAACAAAGAGGACGCCGATGAGGAGAAAGAAGGGGATGCAACAACTAACATGGAAATGATAGAGAAGATGTTTTGAGAGGAGGGAAGAAGATAAGGCGTGAAGAGAGAAATAATGTGCGTATGGGGCAAATTGTTAAAAGTGAGTAGATAATGTTAAAAGTGAAGGGCAAATTGGGAAACATACACAAATAAAAAACTTTTATAAAATAGAAACATGAGCTTTAATATGGATCGATCCAAAAAGGAAAATGAATATCAAATTATGTGACGGAAATAATATTTTTTAAAGAATAAACTTATCTAAAATGGAATGTGTAACAAACTTTTAAATACTCCCTCCGTCCCCCAATTAAGTTCCCCCTTTCTTTTTTGGGTAGTCCCTGAATTAAGTTCCTCTTTCCTTATTTGGCAAATTAACGACATCAAAATAGTACCAAACAATGCCAAACGATGTCCAAACAGTGTCAAAACAGTAAAGTTCACATACAATAATTTTTTCCCTTAATAAGTGTGAAAAACACTAGAGAACTTAAAATAAGCAGCCGTTTAACTCTTCCGCTCCCATATGGCCCCCGTAGTCCCTAATCACGTCCAGAAATCCAATCTCCCAAGCCGCCAAGTCCAAAAATACATGGCCCAAATTCTGAAATCCCAACTCCAGTGCAACGAATCGTAAGGCGCAGAGCGGCATATGAGCATATCGCTGCAAAATTCCCAACTCTCACTCACGCAAGTCACGCCGGTGACTGATTTCTGGTCTGCCCTCGGACGGTCGTCTCACGGCGGCGGAGCAAAAGCACCTTTTAGCCTCTAGCCGAGCAGCGGCTTATCACTCTCGAGCCTCGACTGCTCTGCCGCTCTGTGGCCATTTCTGCTCTTCGCCGGTAAGTTTTTTTATTGTTTAGTTTTATTGTATTTTTTTACTACGTATATTCAGTTTAGCTGTTTAGTAGATTAAATGACAGCCTTATTTCTAGAATTTCAGATTAATGATTTTCCAGGAGGGTTTGCTAAGTTTGTTTAGCTGTTCACACTAAATTGCAGCCTTATTAAGTTTGTTAATGGTTTCCATAATTCTGGATTAATGGTTGAGCTGTTTATATACTACTCGTATATCTAGCTATAAATTACTCCTTTAAGCCTTAGTAGTAGTATTTTTTGAAGGCAAGACTTTTAACCCCTTTAAGCCTTTAATTACTGTTTTTTTACTTTCACTTTTCCAGATGTTAGGTTTTAAAATTTATTATAAATGTGATTTGTGATTTGTAAGTTCTAATTTGTCACTTGTGAGCATAATTTATATTAGTATAAATTTGAATATGTTTTTTATTATTAATCTAATTATTTAGTTAGTTAGTACTCCCTCCGGTTCTAAATAAACTTCACACTTTCCTTTTCGGGACGGTCCAAAATAAACTTCACACTTCCTTATTTCTTTATTTGGCAAAGAAATCTACATCAAAACAGTGTTAAACAGTGCTAAACAGTGCCAAACAGTGTCTCAACAGTGCCAAACAGTGTCTCAATAGTGCCAAACAGTGCCAAACAGTGTCTCAACAGTGTACTCTACAGTAAAGTCAACTTTATTTCCTTAATAACTGTGAAGTCAAACACCGAAGTTTAAAAAGAACCGGAGGGAGTATTAAATTAATAGTATTATTAATCTAAATAATTATTAGTATAATTGAGTATGTAGTTAGTAATCCCATTGTTGTGTTTTTTTTATTTGACTTTGACGAAAACTCTTATTCCGATAATATTTTTTTGTCTTTGATTTATTTGTTCTAATAGATGTTATTTTATACCTGTATAAATTTTGTTAAATACACATTATTGTACTACGTATTACATTTTGAGTTTTCTTGCAGCTAGATCTGCTCCTGGTCTTCTCTCATCATCACCATCACTCACTGTAGGTGACTTACATAGTTACATGATCCCATTGAAGAACAGGTTATATAATTTGTATTGACAACTGCAACTCTTTACACTTTTTAGATCTTAGACTTCAATTCAACGCCCCTGTTTTACTGTTTTGTTTTAATTGTACCCTTTCACTTGCACGGAGTAATTTTTAGTTTTGGCTTTCACCCTGTTTTAGTAGTGATTTTTAGCGGTTGGTTTTTAGTGTTTTCCATTGACCGTAGTGTACAGGATTTTGTCTTCGGCATTGATTCTTCTCGCTCATAGACTTCAATGATAGGCTTCTTGTTTATGTAGAAAAAGGTACCTTCCTGAAAATTTACAATGATACCATTATCAAGAGATATGAGTGTATGAAAAATCGTAAAGAACAATTGTGAATTTGTGATTTGTTTTTTTTGTATTTGACTTTGATGAAAACTCTCATTCATATAGAACATTAGATATTTGTTTTTGTATTTTACTTTGATGAGGTTATTATATGTAGTACATATTAGGTTTCACTGAGAACCGTTCTTCCCGTGAGAAATGAGAACGACTTAAAACGTTGCACATTTTGATGCATGGCAGTGCACATTTATAGTGAGGAGGAGGATAATGCATCATTCACAATGGCAAGAAAAGTTCAATTTATTTACAAAAGTGTCACTGCATTTTCGGATTCATTGTAGTGCATATTTCTGTTTCACATAATGTACAATTCTCAAATCCAACATACCAGATTCATTCTCATTTTTCTCCTAAAATCGTGTTCTCACTTGATCCAAATTATTTGCTCCCCACTGGATAAAAATGTTGGATCCGCCTGTGATCAAAATGTCTATTTGTATATGAATTAGTACTTTAGTAGTTTTAAATTTTAATACACACAAAAATATGTAAACCTGTACTACAATGCGTTTACCCCCAAATTTTGAAAGATTGATAAAATTACTAAAGCCCGGGTTTCTTAAAAAATTAGGGAACTTTAATATATTAAATGAAAAAGAACATTACAAAATCTATGTTTTGAAATTATTAGATCGTCATCTTTTCTTCTTTGACATCTTACTAAGAATTTGTGATTTAGTATAGTAGTTTAATAAATTACCGTGGGAATTCTTATGTGGATAAATTAAGGATGTAACATAATAGTTATGACTGGTTGTGTTATGTATCTTCTTTAAATGTTTATGATTTATGCTAGTTGCTAACTTGCTATGGGTTATTAGTTTTTTCTTTATATAATACACACACGAATAATACTTCTTGGAATGATGTTACAAGAATTTTATTGCACATTTTTAAAATTTTTACTCTTATAGGACCAAGTAATCATTGAATAATTGGTCCTACTTGCTACTCGGCCCTTGAGCAGGTAGCCATCGAGTACTGATTACTACTGAAGATGAAAGTAGGTTAGATTAATGAGCTGAATCCTAAACCCTTTAGGATGTGTAGGTGCTAATATAGCTGTTTTTCACTTTATTTGCCCTATTATTTTCTTGGATGTGTGAGGTTTGGCGATAATGTTGTATATATGGACAACAATTCATCTGTGGTTGCCTTGTTGATTAGATATGACAAAAGTATCAATGACTACTGAAGATGCATCAAAGAAAACTTCAACAGTTCAATTGGTGAAACTTGAAAGAGGATTCAAATTGGTAAGGCCATTCCATTCTGTGCCCCAAATGTTATTAAATCGATTTTACCCCTTGGGCATTATAGTGTTATCATTTTATTGCATTATTTGGGTTTCAAGCTGTCGATTGGCATTCTGGTCATGCCAAATGTTATTCAAAGTGATTTTACAGTGTTACTCCGTATTTTGCATCTATCTGAGTATTTTAAGTCTTCACTCTTCAGATTCCATGCTTTTCAAGTGATATTGACTATGTTTATGCCTCCATCTCTTTTGATTATAAAACTCTTGCTTTGACGCTTTAGAATTTAGATGTTGACCAGTAGATCCACTTATGTAAACCAACATTTCCTTGTTTTGCGATTTCTTTGATATCCTGTTTACCCCATAATGAACTATAGCTTGCATGGTCAAAATGTTCGTACGCTGCAGGCTGAACAATGGGTTAATAATATGTCCAAATCATTGGAGGATGATCAATCAAATGGAGCTATTCTAGAAAGCCGACCTCCTAGGTTAGCATCTGTTCGAATGCGTTAAACTTTGTTCGAACCCCCTAATCACAACCTCTCTCTCTCTCTCTCAGGCTTGGAATTGGGGCTACAGTTCCCCGTGAGTCCAAATATGTTCGTGCAAACGATCCCATTGAAAGAAAATTGCGTGCTACGTTGAATGCTAAAGAAAGAAAATTTGACGCAAAGGCCAATGATGCAAGGGTTGAAGAAGATGAAGAGGATGAAGAAGAGGAACTTGAAAGCAAAACTAAGGCGTTTACCAAAAAGAGGCCATCACTTCTTCCCTCATCTCTTAATCGTATGAAGAAACGCAAGTAGAGAAGAAAGGGTGGGTACGACATCTGTATCATAGGATTCATAGCCCATGAAATGTGTTTGATCCTGCAACAGTATTGTTTTTGTTCAGTCCATCAAGCATCTGAGGTTATTTACGTGTATAATTGTATTAACCTTTAAAACTCACTGGCGTGCTCTAACCAATGAAGAATCCCATCTTTGAGGGCTGCAGTGCCCAACTTTTAACACTAAAGTTTTAAACATAGGCACCTCTTTGAAAACTGTTTCTATTTTTTCAGATAAAAACTGAGTACTTTAAGAAGCCTTTGCAAACACCCTTTAAGAAAGCCCCATATCCATCTTTTGAGAAGTAACGCGTCTCTGGTTTTGGTTATTATATTTTCTCAGATCTCATATTTAGAATCTTTACCGTCTCTTAGGGCTGGACTCGGCCCGGTTCGGGCCTGCTTCGGGCCTGGGCCCGGCCGGGCCTCGGGCCAGGAAAGGGGAGGCCCGAGCCCGAACCGCCGGTGGCCGGTTCCGGTTCCGGTTCCGGGCCAAACCGGGCCGGGCCGGGCCGAACCGGCCCAATTAATTCAACTTGGGACTTGGGAGTACTCTCAACTTGGCTGCAGCTTTAGAGAATGGAAATAATTCCAAATAAATTGGTAGTTTTAAATTTGTAGTTTTAAACAATTCCAAATAATTCCAATATTTGTAATTCCAGATAATTACAAAACTGATAGGAACAGTCCAGGTATGCAGCAAAATTCACAGAAAATGTCAAGAACAACTGAGAATTTTTTTGATGAATAAGATGACAGTATCGGTAACCTAGGCCGAAGCCTCCCAATGAGCCGAAGCCCCCCAAGAACGAGAATAGCTCTCGATCTCTCAAGTCCCAGTCTGAAAATGTCTAAAACAGCCCTCCCGATTTCTCCCCAGTTTCGTCTATTTATACTAACTATTACACTTATTATTATTCTTGGTTTATTAGGCCCAATTCCTAACAGTCCATTAGGCCCAATCTAATAGCTACTAGTCTATTTAATAGTCAATAGGTGGGTCCCTATCAATACTCCCCCCCTCCCCTAAACTTCCACCTTGCCCTCAAGGTGGGCGGTAGGAGAAGACCAACATCTTCTGCTTCCTCTGCCTCTTCCTTGTTCCTCTCCCTTCCCAATATCTAACTGGTTGATGGACCATGAACCTTTCCAAAGATGTCTGGCAGCTTACAAACCCCACCACCAATCTGGATTCTAATGCACTATGTTGCCAGATGTATACTGGGGTGTTGATAAGCAAAGGAGGAGCTGCACATGTGTACTCAGCACTTCTATATTTCCAACATCTTCACCTAGTTTGGTTTCCATTATGAGAACACAATTGGAACAGTTCAGTTCTGGATCATTGGAGCATAAGACCATTTTATAAGGTTGAACACTAACTTCAGCTTTCATCCCATTAGCAATTTCAGGGTTTACAGATAAATCCCTGATTTGTTCCCTCTGGGAAATCTTCATTGCAGCAGCTTGAGTAATAGAGTCCAGGTCCGCATTAATTCTACCCAACTGGTATTCATGAACAAACTCATCAACCCATCTTAGTCCATAATGTGAGGAGTCCCAACTTGCATAAAGCATCAAACTGCAGCCCATAGCTTCTATCCCAGATTTGTCATGGGAATGAGTGAAGATTGATCCTCCAAATGCACAAATCTGTAGATCATTCTTTCCCAATGACCCTGCCTGAAGAAGCTTGAACCTATTGATTTCAAGGTCTGACTGGTCCAGGTTGTTTTTGGAAACATTCTTACGTCTGGGGAATCCAACAACTGCTCCATCTTAAGGTTGAAGATTAACTGATGGCTTATCATTGCCTTCCTCTTCTCCATAGGTGTGCTGCTGAATAGTCAACTCCTGCTGCGACTCTGTAAACTCAGAAAGAGATTTCGAACTAGGTTTTTCTACTCGAGTTGAAACCAGAGGTCCAGAATAAGTATCTTGCGACTGAACGGGCGAACCAGCAGATTCTTCTTTCAATCGCGATGCTTTGTTGTGCGAATTCATCGCGGACGGGCTACCTGCGGAATGAGTTCCGCTGTTTCTGATCGCTGCGATCTGTGACTGGAAGTTCGCGATTTCACCTGCGACTCCATTTGCGAGCTTGTGATAGGTGGCGATCGGACTGTGTTTGTCAGGCAGCGGAAGATGCCTAATCTTCCTTGATCGTTCTCTAGATTCTCTGCGAATTCTATGCTCTTCCAAGCTTTCTGAAATTTCTCCAGGTTGCGTGTGCCGGTGAGTAAAGCTGCGATGTGACCTATGCGAAGAGTGCGATCTTCTTTTCGATCGATCCTGGAGTATATTATCAAGATTTGCGATGCTAGCTTGCATCGTCGCTTGCATCGCCTCTTGCATCGCTTCTTGCATCGCGGCCATATTTGTGGCCAGATTCTTCGCCATATTCTCTCGAATCTCCCTCAGATTTCTTTCCATACTTGCTTGCATCTCCTTGTATACCTCTGACATCTTCTTGGTCTGTCGATTCAGATTGTCCAATCTTTCCTCCATTTGCGGTGTAATAAAGAATTCCTCCATCGTTCAGATAATTCAGATTCTCCGTCTCCAGGAAATAACCAGGTTGTGATACCAATTGATAGGAACAGTCCAGGTATGCAGCAAAATTCACAGAAAATATCAAGAACAACTGAGAATTTTATTGATGAATAAGATGACAGTATCGGTAACCTAGGCCGAAGCCCCCCAAGAACGAGAATAGCTCTCGATCTCCCAAGTCCCAGTCTGAAAATGTCTAAAACAGCCCTCCCGACTTCTCCCCAGTTTCGTCTATTTAGTATTTATACTAACTATTACACTTATTATTATTCTTGGTTTATTAGGCCCAATTCCTAACAGTCCATTAGGCCCCATCTAATAGCTACTAGTCTATTTAATAGTCAATACGTGGGTCCCTATCAAAAACATTTACTAGTTTTAAATTTATTTCAAATTAAATTCAAGTATGCATTTTTAATACTTACTAAAAAAATTAATTAAATTTTTTAATTTTTTTACATCGGAATGTTTGAGTTTTTAAACAATAATTATTGATCAAAATAAAATTAGCACATAAATGATGTGTAATAAAATAACTAAGGATCTATGCATTTAATTAAAAAAAATGTGCTGAGTGGATATATTGACGGTGTTGGGTTGCAGGGAAAAACTAAATTGATAGAGTGAATACGTATAAACTGGAGGGGAATTAGATTTATTGACAGGCTTGGGTTGCGGTTAGCCTTACTATTATATACTACTCCCTTCGTCCCAATTTACTTAGCCATCTTTGACTTTTCCGGTCAAAGATGGTAAGCTTTGATAAATTATTTTAACTAATATATTTATGCAAAAATTATTAATTTTATACTTTTATTATAGTATTTTTAACAAAGAATACTTTCATATTATTTTCATATTATCAATTTTTCTCTATATAAACATATAATCGGTAAAATTTAGACGTCATTGACTTAAAAAGTCAAGTTTGACTAAGTAAAATGGGACGGAGGGAGTAGTATTCAACATGAGAACTCACAAGAACATGTTATTAGCTTGAGCATGACACGTTCTTCAATAACTTTAAATTACATTTTTTGCAATTAACTGTATATATACGTACCTTTGAGAAGAACTGAATTTGGTACTCAGCTCACACAAAATTAGTTAGTTTAACTTTTTTTAGTGCTAGTAATATACTCTCGGCTCCTTAATTAAATTCACAGTTTCACTTTCAGAGTACGCAAATTCAAACTACCACTAATATTTTACCTTATAAGCTTATTATAAAATCTTTAATATGTAATTAACATTCCAACAAAATTGTGATGTTTGTAATGTCTTTAATAATTTACAATCAAAGTTAATAATGTTTGACTCAAATTGTGGAACAAAGGGAGTATATATTTAATGAATTGAAACGAGTAATCTCCTGTTTAAGACTTTCTGACAGAAACCACCATCCGGTCACTGCAATTTGAGGTGATTCCTAGTAGTTGATGAATTGTTTTGAGCATGTTCTACATGAAGTGTAGATTATGTCCACAAAATTTCAGTTTAAAACTCAATCGTGAAATCAGTTAAAGAAATTATGGAAATAACTTCGCCAAAATATATATTTATATAAACACAGTAATTTTCAATAATTTATTTAACTGATTTCCCGATCGAATTTAGGGGGTGTATTCAATTGGGATGTTTTGAAACAATTGGAGATTTGTATTCATATAGGATTCTAAAAGACTTTTCTAGACAATCCAAAATTGTGTGAGACATATCAAGACATTTTAAATTTTAAAAGACTCTTCTAGACAAAGTTCAGTGGCTCCTTTCTGTGAGTAGCATCGGCTCTACTTAACTCCATCAGCTCTCCACTCACCTTCTGTGAGAGCACTTCCTACTGTTTGACCCATTTCAATGGGATATAGGCAGATGAGATAAAGAGGTCAAGCTTTCCATATGATTCGATAAATTCAAAATATTTGGCCTTACAAGAAACATGACGGGGAGAAAAGCTTGGACAAACGATGGTTGCTCCGGTCTCTTTTGGCTGGGAACAAAATAGGCTGACACGGAGGTTTCTCGTGCTAGAAAAAATGGTTGAAGAGCAATTTTTGGCTTTCCGTGACCAGTCTCCCCAAATCTCACGTAAATAGGTATAATAGGATTTGTCAGTGTATTTTTGTTGTGAAGTCCTGCCAAATCCTAGTCCCAAAAAGAATCCCAAATTGTCTTGGTGTTTTAAACACATGTAGACTTTTCTAGACTCTCCAAATGGCTTAAAATGTTTCAATTGAATACACCCAGATTCTGAGAATCCCAAAATGTCTGAAAATGTCCCAATTGAATACAACCCCCTTAATTTGAAATTTTGTGAACATAATCTACACTTAATGAAGAACTTGTTCAAAATATTTCATCAAAAAAACTCAATCGAGAACCACCTAAAATCGCGGCACCAAATGGTGGTCTCTCTCTGTGTGTGTGTGTATGTGTGTGTCTATGCGCGTGCATGCGTGCGTAGGTGAGTGGGCGCGCACATGTGTGTGTGTGAGAGAGAGAGATATTCATCTCCGAAATTCCAGAGGAGATCACCGTTTGGTGCCGTGATTTTAGGTGCTTCTCGATGGAGTGCATGGCGTGGGGCGCGCGTGTGTTTGAATATGCGAGAAATTTTGTCAAGATTTCTAAATTGTACTCCGTACAAATACTAACCACTTTTTTTATTTGCCAATAAAATTTGTTCATAGAGGGAGTTTTGCACATAAATAACTATAACAGGGGAGTTTTGAGGTTAATGCATCAAATTTATATTTCAGGAGCGGGTTTGTTGCATTAAAGCCGGTTAACATTGCTCCTCTTCTTTTTTTCTTTTTACATCATCCACAAGACGAAAACCATGCAATTTCACTGTTTTTGAGAGACAAAAGGAGTAATAATAAAAACTATAAATAACATATAATACGTTGCAGATTTTAACATGAATCGCAGTTCATTCAGTTGTACAAAAACCAATGTCGGCTCCAATTTGAACAAAGGTGGAAACAGCCTCAAGTCATTGCTGCGAATGTTTGAGTCTGAATAGCCTCCTGGTTTCAATCCATCAGCCTATATTACCACTGCTGCCGATTTCTTTAATACGTAGCCAGCTGCTTCAGTTAATTTGTGATTTTGTGTAGAAGCAATGTACCTTACTCGATACTCATATGCTTCAGTTAATTTGTTTCTCCTCATCTATTTACTTTCAGTTGCATCGCAGGCTCACACCTTTAGGAAGGACATGCACCACACCAATGCGTCCACGTTGCAAAACAACAGACCACTAGTAACGACATGCACCTCATCTATTACAACAACAACAACAACATCCAAGCTTAGTCCCAAAAGATTTTGGGGTCGGCCGAAATGAATCGATACATGATATCAGAACCAAAAGGAAAAGAAATATAACAAATTAAAATAATGACCATTAAAATGCTTTTCATCACCATGAGTGTCATTTAACTCTACCTGCCTACCAGTGACCTTTGACAAAGTAAGGTATAATCCTACACTCCTATAGATCAGTTAGGTTCATATAAGAAATAAGCGCCTATTTGGTAACCTTGTGTTTTGGGGTTATCAGCCACATTTTTTCCCAAAACTAAGGGTCCATTTACTAACCAGAATACTTTTCATTTTTCTAGAAAACTGAAATACTGAAGGAAGAAAAACTAGAAAACGTGTTTACTTGGTGATGAAAATAGAGAACAAAAAATAGGAAAAAACTAGAAAACTGGAGAAATAAGTAAACATGCCCTAATTTTTTTACTTCACATTCTAAATGGTTTGGTGATGAAAATAAGTATAATTGGAGTTACTTTTCAGGGCGAATTGGCTAGAGAGAACTTTTTTTTTTTTGCGTTTTTACATAAGATGATTCTGTATCTTAGTAATTAAACAATTTTTAAATATATATTTTTCATAGATAAGTAGATTTGACCAATTCTCAGGCACAAGTTCAGAAAAAATTATAGATCCACATAATAATGGATTATAGATCCACATAACATTTTTGTAAATATTATGTACAAAAGTTGTCACAAAGAAGAACATGACGATTGACCAATTGCAAATGAGCCAAAAATATCACCCCCCCAAAAAGGAGGGAAAAATAGGATTATTACGAATCTTTGCAATAAACATCATGAAAAGATGAGACGTTACATTAGTTTAATTATGGGTAGACAGTCAACTTTTCCCCCCGAGCGTCTGAATTATAGCCTCAAGGAGTTTAATTTCACTATCACGTTTTGCTATCTCCTCTTGCTTTGCGCGTAACTCTTCCATGTGCAGCTTAAACACTTCTGCAAGTCCAAGGAATAATTAAAATAACTACGATGAACAAAGGCTGTTTATATGCAATCACGGGGGATAGGAATCCAATCAAACCAAATTATTATCCTTGCATCCAAAATCCATGTGATAACTGTCATAAACTTTGAAAAAGGGAATGGGAAGGAAGCCATATCCAAGTCACGTGTCAATAAGTCACCGCATGAAATGCAGTTGCTTCGTCATCATTGGCTTAATATAAAATGACACTTATCCTATGTTATTAGGTCACCAAGTGCTCACTATTCACGGTAGGACCTTGCCGATTAATACTCTGACTTGCAGTGTTACATTTTTCGAAGTAACTTGACGAATACTCGTACTCGGCGGTTTTCTCTACTCGGTGACAAGGCTGCCAATTTTTCGGGCTTACACTGAGATTTGGGGACATAGAGGATGAAGAAGAAAATGATGACCTCTGACCCAATGAAAATTACTTCCAGATAAAAGTTTAAAATTAAGTATTATTAGATGATTGATTTCCTTGGGATTAAAATGTCTATAATTGTTGGGATTCTGTGCAACTTCATTATTAGGATTTCTATTATTAGTTTATTCATATTTTAGAATTAGAAGACTAACATATTACTAGAACTTTGGGGCATTTATGATTTTAAATTTAATTAATACAAGACAGAGTAGTTGGTCCTACATGCTACTCGGCCCTTGACCAAATTGCCACCGAGTAGCTACTTAAACTACTTAGCATTTATTAGGATAACAATAGAGCGAAGCTTGTTAATTACTCGCATGTTGTAAGAACGAAATTGAAATATCATGGAGAGTATATTAACTTCATAACCAGAAATAACAACTTTATAGGACTATAGGAGTCAAAAAGAGGTGGTATACTGAGAGAAATTAGAGACCTACATGAAGGGATCTAGTGAATTTAATATTTATATCTTTGCTTGAGTAGGACATGCAAAAGTTAGGATATAGTAGTCACAAATAAACAATTAAATGTTATGAAATCGCAAGTATCTCAAGCTTTATTTGCATTCTGCACTTGTAGTGAAAAATTTACTGTGCATAGAAAAACTACCATTTGACCTGACCTAAGTACCTAACCTGATCCCAAACACATATATAGTTTCACTCTACCTAGGCAAGCAAAATTCTCCCGTCAAACAAAAAGGCATCCATAAAGATGAAAGTCATGAAACCAAAATAAAAGTGATAAAACTGAAATGTGTTGGGTGAAGAGCTAAGAAACAACACCTAAGATCTAAGATTATTTTACATAGAGTTCTCTAGCATGTGTATGTATTAACTTGCTGTAGTGAAAAGGGTAAGAATTGTGTACTTGTGGTGTTCTCGAGCTCTTTTGTGATCTCTTGTGCCCGTAATTCTGCAGCCTTCTGAGCCACCTCAGCTTGCCGTTTCTCCGTCCGTGCATGTGCAGCAGTTGATATTGCAGAATCAAGTTCACGTTCTAAAGTCTCTACTCTCTGTTCAAGAACCTATGGATATACAACAAGTGACACTCCTTCAAATGATCCATTTACCAACTAATGTTGATTTAAATAGTTAATACTGCAGAATCTAGAAACTTCAACTAAGTATTCTCACATTAGTACCTCCATTGTGGATTGATCATTGATCTAATCATTATATATATACGTGTGTGCGCGCGCATGCATGATACATGTATATATAAACATAAGTTACTCAAGTATACAATAGGCAAGGTCACAAGGATCACAGTCTTGGTAGTTGCTACTCATGTCCCAATTTAATGTTCCAAGACACTAGTCCTGTGAATCCTGTGATCAACCTAACTCTCATTCGATACATATCTGATTTTATAGTAACTTTTTTCTTATTTCAAATTTCGAGTTCAGATTTTAGGGTTCAATAGAACTGTTGTTTGTTCATATGTAATTTTGATTATTGATACCAATTTAGGTATTACAAAGGAAGATTTAACTTTATTGGTACCCAGCTATCATAAATCGAACTGATAACCTTACATTGGGATAGAGAAAGTACCACTAAAAAATTGATACATTACTTAGGGTCCGTTTACAGTTCACTAAAAATTACTCCGTATAAACTAAATAGGAAGGCAATTTAAGGGTTATGATAAAAAGTCTATCATCCTGCGTTTTTATGTTAATTAAGCCCTGTTTGGTTTGCAGTGAATCTAGCTTCATTCAATTTAAATTCTAGATTCACTTGTTTGATTTGTGATGTGATGATACGAACTATGTTTTGGGGGTTTTGGTTCAATTCAGACTTTTGAAGAAACTATTAGAATCTCCAAAACACAAATTTGAAGAACTTCCAAATTGGGGGCCTTCGGAGATTGGCACACCATATAAGAGTAATAATTTAGTTTTCACATGAAGGAAGCTCCCTCCCAACACTTTTCTATTAGACTCACCAAGGTCAACCTAATAGTTCCTATAACCTATATTCATACAGGTTCTCTAGTTTATCAAGTTCACTTGAAACAAACAGGGCTTAGATTTCCCAACAACCATCATAGTTGGATTTCTGCTTGACTTCCCTAATTTGTTCTGCTTCTCTAACATATTCCAAACTCATTGCTTCATAAATCTAAATCCCAATCTAAATAATCGATCAAATCCAAAACACAGTCCAATAAAGAATTTAGACATACAGCCGCTGAAATGAAGAAATAAGATCCGAATCCAGATACCTACTCGGTACCTTGATGGTTCGGGCTTGCTCGGAGGCGAGATGGGCTTTCGAGTAGGTGGCTTCGTCGACATAAACAGCTTTCTTCACAATCAAATTCTGGAGGGAGTCAAGATTTGACGACATCTCCGACAAATTCGCTATCGCTGCCATCCATCTCTCGCTTCCTTTGCTCTTCTCCTCCATTGGACGTTCCTGATTTCGTAGTGCGACAAGGCCGACTTTCTTATTCAGAAAGTGTTGAAGAATTAAAATGAGAGAAGACTGGAAGGCGAAGAAGAGCCGTAGTTGTAAATGAACCAAACCCCTCCGATGGAAGTTTATCTTCAACATTCATCTCAATGTGTTCCTATGTCCAAGTTTTAGTGCAAACTAGTATAGTACCCGTGCATACGCACGGGAAATAGTAGTCGGTGCATATATTTTTCTCATGATCTAATTAAATATTATAATAAAAATACCTTTTTAGTATTCTACATTGTAGGGGGGAAAGAGTACAATAAGTTAATATCATAAAGTATAAGCCATACAATAAATATTCAATGAAGAGTATATTATGGAAAATTAATTGACACCACTCATTAGAATTTGCTATCTATTAATTTTCATGATTGAATTAATTTTAAAATTAAATATAACTCTAAAAAAGTAAGTACATTAAGTGAATGACAAAAAATTCAAGTGAATACAATAAATATTAATATTAATGAATATCAGTTAAATAATAATTTGCTAATCATTATTTAAAGTAGTGCTAACATATGGGAGGGAATTACATATGTGAAACAAAATTATTACACTCAATTGTTAGCAACATTATCTTCTAATACCTAAAAGCACTACATATGAGAGAGAAAATTATTCCATTCAATTCCATTGCTCAATTGTTAGCAATCTTATCTTCTACGTAGTAATATCAAAAAAGCACTATATGAAAGAAAAATTTCTCCCGCTCAATTATTAGCAAGTTTATCTTCTTACCTAAAATCACTACATATGAGAGAGAAAATTATTCCATTCAATCCATTGCTCAATTGTTAGCAATCTTATCTTCTATGTAGTAATACCAAAAAGCACTATATGATAGAAAAATTTCTCCCGCTCAATTGTAAGCAAATTTATCTTCTTATACCAAAAACCACTACATATGAGAATGAAAATTCTCTCGCTCAATTGTTAGCCGGATTATCTTCCTATACCTAAAGCACTACATATAAGAGAGAAAACTATCCCGCTCAATTGTTAGCAAACTTACCTTCTAATCTTCTAATGCCTATAAGCACTACATATGAGAGAGAAAATAACCTCCCTCAATTCCGTTGCTCAATTGTTAGCAAGTTAATCTTCTAATCTTCTAATACCTAAAAGCAGTACATATAATAGAGAAATTTCTCCTGCTCAATTATTAGCAAGCTTATCTTCTTATGCCTAAAATTATTACATATGAGAGGGAAAATTATCCCGCTCAATTGTTAACTAGTTTATCTTCTTTATACCTAAAAGCACTACATATGAAAGAGAAAATTATTATGCTCAATTATTAGCAAGTTTAACTTCTAATACCTAAAAGCATTGTATATGAGTGATAAATAAATATATCCTGCTCAATTTTACTGGTCATTTGTTAGCAAGTTTATCTTCTAATACCTCAAAACACTACATACATATGATAGAAAAAATTCTCCCGATCAATTATTAGCAATCTTATCTTCTTATTACTAAAACACCTACTTATGAGAGAGAGCATTTTCCCGCTCAATTGTTAGCCGGCTTATCTTATACAACTATAACTAAAAGCAAACATATGAGAGAGAAAACTCTTTCGCTCAATTGTTAGCCGAATTATCTTATACTTAAAAGAACTACATATGAGAAAGAAAGTTTTCCCGCTCAATTATTAGCAGGCTTATCTCCAAATAGCTAAAAGCTCTACATATGAAAGATAAAATTTCTCGCGTTGAGTTGGTAGCCGACTTATCTTCTTATACCTAAAAGCACTATGTATGACAGAGATAATTCTACCGCCCAATTTTTAGCTGACTTATCTTATACTCAAAAGAACTACATATATATGAGAGAAAATTATCTCGGTGAATATATTGTTAGTTGAATTATCTTATACTTAGAAGCACTACGTATGAGAGAGTTAATATAATTCTAGCTACCACTAAATTGGTAGCTGGCTTATCTTATACTTAACAGAACTATATGTATGAGAGAAAGTTCTCCCGCTCAATTGTTAGCAAGCCTATCTTTAGTCTAGTCCAGTACCTAAAATAACTACATATGAAAGAGAAAATTATCCCGCTCAACTCCCCTACTCAATTGTTAGCAAGCTTATCTTCTAATATCTAAAAGCATTACATACGATAGAGAAATTTATCCCGCTCAATTTTTAGAAAGCTTATCGTCTTATTCCTAAAATCACATATGAGAGAGAAAATTATTCTGCTTAAGTGTTAGCCGGCTTAATCTCATCCTATACTTAAAAGTACTACCTCCGTCCCCCTAAGTTTGAGACAAGAGAAAGTGACACAGTTATTAATAAAAGTGGGTTTATGTGGTTGATATTGAATTGATAAAGTAAGAATAAAGTAAAAATGATTTAGAACCACACAAACTTTACCAAATAAGGCATGAGACAATCTTAGTGGGACGGACCGAAATGGTAAAATGGGACAATCATAGCGGGACGGAGGGAGTACTACATATGAGAGATAAAGTTTTCCGCACAATTGTTAGCTGACCTATCTTATTCTTAAAAAATCTACATATGGGAGAGAAAGTTTTCTGTTCACAAGCTTATATCCTAATACCTAAAATCACAACATATGAGAGAGAGAAATTTCTCTCGCTCAATTGTTAGCCGGCTTATATTCTTATTATACATAAAAGTGGTACATATGAGAAAGATAATTCTACCGCTAAATTGTTAGCCGGCTAACAATTGAGCTATCTATTTTCTTATATATAAATAGATTATGATTTTTGATATATATTTTATGGAAATTAGAGCAAGAATGACAATTTATAACACTTTGAAGAAAATGAAGGTTTTTATTATAGTCACTAAATGTCAATAAAACATTAAAACATATTTTTATCCATTATCCTTATTTTGAAAATCTATTTAGTATTTTTATTCAAAATGTTATAACCTTTTCATTCTAACTCTACCTTTTACAAAATATATTAAAATCCATAATTCTCATTACGTTTTTTATGACAGTAATATTGCGTATAAAAGTTTTTCTTTTAAGATTTATTAAACAACTTCCTATTTTTCAACTACGATATCGATCATCCCGTATTAAGTAAAGAAATTATCGATAACTATGACCCAAATAAGTATAGTGGATAAATGTGACTTCTTAACTTCATTCAATTTAGGCATAAAAAAGTAAATTTATATTTAGCTTTTCTTATTTTGATCATCACAGAATCTAGCTTAGCGCGCAAAATCAAAATTTAAGTATTTGATTAAATAAATAATTGTACTAATAACTAAAACGAATAGGCTCATTACATTGATCAAATGACAAACAAAACAGGTTTGATTGAAATAATGTCAAGTTGAAATGACAATCAAATGTAACTTTCCACAAAATTACCTTTAATGTTTTTTTTAACAATATCGACATTTTTCAACAAAATTATGTTAAAAGTATAACTTTTTATTATCTTTCATATGATCATAATATTTCGTGTATATAACTATGTGTGTGTGTATTTATATATAAGTAAAGAATAGGCTATTTAAAGTACTCTTTTACGCTCAAGAAAGCCACGCGTTGTTCAATCCAAACTTCGACCTCAAATATCAAAGTATAAAAAATAACAGAAATCCAATATATTAATAATACACAATGACCAATATGAATCAAATTGCATTATATGATCAATACCTTGACCAAAATTAAATTATTTAGTGTTTTGATTAGTATAGGGCAAGTATTCGTTAGAACTTGAGTCAGCATAAGGAGCTAATCCTTTTCAAAAAGAAAATTTTGATATGCGTACTAAATCATTTTAGTGTTAGCAATTTGATGATAAAAAGTCTATTCATACATTCGAACCGATTAATATCCTTATGAAGTTGTATTTGTTCAGTTCGTGGTGGAACATACATTTCAGGTGTGCTCACACTATGACTTGATTTTAAAAGGGCGACTTTGGTTTTTATAACATATGTAAAAGTTAAAATAAAGATAAAGATCGTATGATGGAAATGATAATAACAAAATTAATTTTAAACTATCATAGTTTTTTACGACTTTAATGGACCAAGTGACATTTAAAAACCATGGGCCTGTTTTATATTGACAATTACAAAATATATCGGGCACATTCTTCATTTAGAATGTTATTTAAAGTTTGTTAGGTGACATAGAAATTGCCTGAATCTATCGTAATTGACAACATTTTGGCTAAATTGACTGGATTTATTGAGTTATGGGGAAATTGTATTTTAAAATACATTTCATTTATAAAGTAAAGAAAAAATTATATGAAGAAGTAGGTAAAATAATCTTCTACAATAAATTCAGTTAATTCGACCAAAAAAGTGGCTATGAGTACACTTTTATAGTCACTTTGATATAATTTTAAACGTATTTATAGTTACTAAAAATTAATAAGTCATATTTTTATCCATTAGGCTTGTTTTAGTCATACGTTATGAATTATACATTTATTTAATACGGAATAGTCTGTATCGAATTTGAAAATAGGAAGATTACTAAATAAACCTTCAGATTTTCTTTTTAACTTTTATATATTCAATATTGATGTCATTTGAAAGATCGTAAAAAATTATGAATTCTGATATATTTTTTATAAAAATTAGAGAAAAAATAAAAAAGTTATAACAATTTAAAGAAAATGGTATATTTTTATACAATGGGACCCATTAATGGATTCCAAAGTTTTAATGCGTACACATCCTTTGCTTCGGTGTGTTCCTTATTAGTCCATCAATTCACCACATGGCATTTGTATATTAAAGGAGCAAATTGTGGAGAGAATGACACATAGGATTTTTAAAGGGTAAAATTGTATTTCTATGAGCTATTTGTTTTCTTATATATAAATAGATTTGGTATGAGTAAACTAGACTTAATGAATAAGATGCTCAAAAAATTTCACAAAAAAATTTCACCTGAAACCGCCCCAAATGGCAACGACCGGACAGAACCTCTTACAGTCGCTATACCGTGGTACCGACGCACGTTCCACATCATACACCCAACTCCAAAACGACAGCGTTTACATTTAATTAAAAAACACGCGCACGAAATCCAACGGCCCCACTCTCCCACCTTTTCCCTCCAGCGGTTATTCTCTCAGGTGTTAATTTCGAAAATAAAAAATCTCTCCATCTCCCGATGTTTCATTTGCGCCTTTCAAAAAAAAAATACAGTTTCTTCTCTCTACAGAGCTCTTGCAAAATCTCTACGAAGCAAGTTCTCAAAAACTCATCGCTGACTTCCACCTCTCCACTTCCACCTCTCCTTGAAGGAAAACAAGAGATTAAGTGAGGGATTAACACCATCGACGGCAGGTTACTTCGGTATCTGTGTACAGATTGAAGATGGTTAGGTCTAGAAGCAAATCTGTTGTCAGGTATCAACTATAACCAAAAATCGAACTATTAAACAATGCGATTGCTATTCTACTTTAAATATCAAAATGCATGTAACATTGAAGTTGTGAATAAAGCAATGTTCGTTTCATAATCTGCAACTGCTTATGTTTCGAAATTCAGATGAAATATTTTATCTGCTTTGATTTATATAATATAGTGTTGCATCGGTCAATATGTTTGTTATGCCTCTTATTATGTCACTGATTTTTTTTTTTTGTAATATAGTGTCGCATTTCACTGAAAATAATAACAGATTAACTTTGCTTAAAATTATGTAACTTGTTTATAATAATACCTAAATCCTCTGCCTTGTTTTGTGACTGTAACTAAGTCCACATTTCATTGTTCATCTGATTGTCCATGATGTAACTTCACCTCAGTGTTATGTAAATTGTGCGTGACAGTATGTAACTCATGTGCTCCAAATTTCATTGTTCATCTGATTGTCCATGATGTAACTTCACCTCAGTGTTATGTAAATTGTGCGTGACAGTATGTAACTCATGTGCTCCAAATTTCATTGTTCATCTGATTGTCCATGATGTAACTTCACCTCAGTGTTATGTAAATTGTGCGTGACAGTATGTAACTCATGTGCTCCAAATTTCATTGTTCATCTGATTGTCCATGATGTAACTTCACCTCACTGTTATGTAAATTGTGAGTGACAGTATGTAACTCATGTGCTCCAAATTTCATTGTTCATCCGATTGTCCATGATGTAACTTCACCTCAGTGTTATGTAAATTGTGCGTGACAGTATGTAACTCATGTGCTCCAAATTTCATTGTTCATCTGATTGTCCATGATGTAACTTCACCTCACTGTTATGTAAATTGTGTGTGACAGTATGTAACTCATGTGATTTAATGTCATATTTGTATCATATAAGGAATACAAGAAGTGCTAGAGCTTCTGAAAATGAAACTCATGAAACAGAACATCAGATCAGAATGAAGCTGCTAGGATAGTGAACACAGAAGAACCAATTTTAAGACTAGAATATCATCAGCCAACAACAAGCAAAAAAAGAAAAGCAGCACCAGAAAAGAAGAAAGAAGAATCTGAAGAATCAGACAATGAATGTGAAGAAGTAGAGAGAGGCAACTGTTAGAGATATTTTCATTATATTGTGATCAATGTTTCTTAGCTACTTATATTTAGCACCTTAATTAAATAGACTAGCTAGAATAATGAATAGGCCTTTTAAGGCAATTTGTAATAAAAGGTTTTATACCTTTTTAGGTATGGGCCTCCTAGAAAAAGGAGCCCAAATGATTGTAAAACCTACCTTTCCCGTCAGGCTATATATATGCCTTAAGGGAAAGGCTAGGTTAAGCTTTTCAACATTCCCTGTGCCGCAGAGCCTATATCGGTGATAGAAGTTTTACGCTAACTTTCATATCATTCTGTAAACTTCTTCATCATTCAATGGAAAGCTTCATTCCCAGATCTATCTTCCATACATACATTTTATAGACTAGAAAACAGGGACCTAACAGCAACAGGCAGCCTTATGTAAACCTCAGAACAAGAGTAGGACCAGCCCCTTTCATAAAGTTGATTAAACTGTTAGATGACAACAAAAAAGCAGCAATTGAAAGGATTGGGTTCGGTGGATTACTGCATTTAAACTTTGAAAGATTCTATGGAGATTTGGTTGAGTTTTTGTTGAAGAACTTTAGACCAATTTCAGGACAGCTACAACTTGCCAACGGTGAGCTGCTAGATATTGAAGATGAAGATGTCAAAGCTGTATTTGGTCTGCCAAAAGGAAAGATTGAAGTTCAAGAAGCGAATGCGAAGAATGAAACTGAAGAGTATACCCAACTGCTGCAAGAATGGAGGGAAGAATGGGGGATTGATAAAGGAAGCCCTCATACATCAAAAATGATTGAAAAAATAGTTGCAGATACTGATTCTGGAGACCGATTCATCAGAAACTTTGTGGTCTTTACAGTCTCTTGCCTCATCAGAGGAAACCAGAGTGTTAGAAGCAATTTTAAAATATTGCTATCTTTGGTGAATGTAGCCGATATACCAAAGATGAACTGGTGCAACTACACAAGAAGATCGTTGATAGATGCATGTGAGGAATGGCAAGCTAATCAATCAAAGATGTTTAGTGGACCATTATTGTTTCTAATGATATGTTACTTTGACCGAGTACAATTCAAAGGCCAAATAACGCAGACTGCTTACCCAACAATTAGAATCTGGGGCAAGGAGAAAATTGACAAGAGAGTGAAAGATGAGAGAAAGGTGGGTTTTGGTCTGGGGAAGGTGACAAAGCGAATAATAATAGTGGAAGATGAAGATGAAGATGAAGAAAAAGAAGGAAAGGAAGATGAAGAAAATGAAGATGCTGAAATGTTGTCAAAGGAGGTAAATTTTAATACAACACTTTGTGATCTTAAAGACTATTTTATGTAACTTAAATCAATTGTCACATAACTATAGGATTTTGACAAGGAGTCTGTAATGTTAAAATCTCTGTTATGTAACTTAATTCAATACCAATGTATCTTATGTATTATTAAACAACTAATATTATAATATTTATAGGATTGTGTGAAGGAGATTATAGCTGTGGCACAAAAGTTTAGTGATGCTTTTGTTGAATTTTCAAAGTTGCCATCGACAATTTCAAAAAGATTCCCAAACTCAGATATCTTGAAAAAGATATACATGACGACTGCTGATTACTTCATCAAGCAAGCTAATGGCAAAGAGCAGGCCAATGAGAATCAGAGATTGTTTGAGAAGTGCACATTGGAAGAAGATGATGATTTCTTCAATGAACCTGGTGTAATGGAAGCACTTATAAACCTTGAGAAAGCTGCACTACTGAAATTCTCAATGCCTTCATTTGATTTGGGCATTGAGTTTACCATGTCTCAACCTGAAGCAAATGCCAATCCAAAGAATCAGAAGCAGACTGATGAACAGACCGCAGAGATCGCAAGAGCAGTAGAAGATGAAAACAATGTAGACGATGTCACTGCAGGAGTAAATGAAGGAGAGAAAATCAATACTCCTGAAGTGAATCGAAATGATGCTGATGAAGAAATGAATATAGAGGTTGGGGTGCCTGGAGATTACAAGACTGTTGCTGATGGTGAAGCAAAGAATGAAGCTGATAACAATCAATGGTAAGTGTTATTTGTTTCTTATGTAATTCATTAATATTTTTAACTAATCAAATCAACTTAACAATATGTTGTTTTTTCAAAGTAATGATGACGTGAAGGCATATAGAAGAAAGAAGCTGAAAAAGTTAGGTGAAGAATGTGTGAATTACAGATCCCCATTTCTGAAGAATAATAGAAGATTGTGTAAGGATCTTAACAGGGAAGAAAAAATAGTACTTGACTATGCCTTTTCAAAAGAAGTTCTGAAGTAAGAAAGTCTGATATTATATAATTTATTATTTCAATATAAATATTATTTCGTCATTATATTAATAGTTTATATTGGTTTGAAAAATATTATTCTATTAGTGATTGTGTCTACCACGATGACGGAGGTGTGTTTATAACTCATGAGGAGTTGCAAACCCTTGAAGATCAAAGTGTAGACAACTCTATTATAGACGCATGGGCAAGAATTTTGAATGACAGAGAAAAGTCAAGCAATACTACAAAGCGTGCATTCATAGCTTCAACCATAGTCTATGTATGGATAGTTTTTTCTTGTAAATTTGAAAATTAAAGTAGTGAACTTCAGTTTCTATATACTGATTGAATTTAATCAATTTGAATGTTCAGGCACAGTTTAATTATACCTCTGGTGACCCAATTGAAAACATGGTTGAAAGATTGGAAAAGGAAATGAATGAAGCAGGAGCAGATGTTAAGCATCTTGATATGGTAAATTTCATTAGCATTTCAAATTATATATGTGGATATATAAATATAAAAACTACAGCAAAATAAGTCACATTTGGTAATTCTTATATGTATATTGTTAAAAGTTGCAACTACATATATCAAGCTTTTTAAATTTAAGAATTAAATAATTAGAGATATGCAAAGTGTGTAACATACCATGTAACTTCAGGTGTTGAATGATGTAAGTGCTTATATGAGTTATGTACATTCTGTATTGTTTTATGTTACTGATTTCACTGTGCAAAATACACAGACGAAATACTTATGACTGACGTATACTGCAGATAATGTTTCCAATTCACAAGCATGCGCACTACTACATCTACTGCTTTTACCCAAAAAATAATATTGTTGATGTGATAGACAACCGCATGCTTCCAGATGGGGTGCCTTTTGAGAATAAATATGCTGAAACTTTTAACAATATGGTAAAAATTCAATACAACTTTTCTGGAAATAACAAATGATATATTATATTTGATTTTAATACATTAATTTAATTTCTTGTATAGGTTGCGGGGTTCAAAGTCTTCTGTGAGAAACTGAAACTTTCAGATTCACTGCCACCAACATGGGTTCCAAGAATTTTGATTATGCCATGGAGAAGTAATGACAATAATACTGACTGTGGAGTATTTGCCATACGCCATTTGGAGACATATCGTGGGCAGGGACACAGATGGGATTCTGGATTTGCACCGGCTTCTACAAAGCAAGGAATGAAATCTAAAAAAGAAACCCTGCAAAAGTTGAGACTAATGTATGCTGCTCAATTATTATTGTCCAAATTTAACACTCAAAGGGACATTGTTCTCAAAAAAGCAAAAGAGTACATTACGCTGTAAGATATCAATGTTGTGGAGCTACACAAATGATTCTGACAAAACATTTGTTGGTTTGTGGAGGGCATGATGACTTGAATTATGTCAAAACATTATTTCATTTTATGGAATAGGTGGTGATGGTATGGACAACTTATATATTTGGTTTGTGATATTGTAATGCAAAATGCTTATGCATGTATTATGGACAACTTTTATGTTTGGTTTAAGATATTGTCCACGCAAACTGCTTATATATGAATTATGTATGATTGAAATTCAGATGATGTAAACAACGGCTAGAACAAATGTAACTCACGTTACAGGACATTGTAACTAAAGCCAAAAAAGAATGAAACTCATGTAACATAGTAGTCAATGTGTTGCACAATAGGGAATGTGCATTGATTTGATACCAGTGATATAACTTGTGTAAAAGAACAGTAAAGAATTTGCAAATTTTGTAAAATCAAAATGAAATTAATTCACTTACTAAAACTTTATTGATAAACCAATTCAAGTGTAACACTGAAAGACTAATGTAAACAAAGGGTATATGAAATGTAAACAATATCACTGATAAATGTAAAACGAGCATACAAAGATGTAAAAATGCAAAACTCCACAGCCAGTGTTCAAGCAGATTACATTCATACTACTTAAATATTACTAAATTTGCATTTCATTCCCAACATTTGGATGCAAAAAGTATGGAGTGAAAACTTGTGGAGATCCAAACATAGGCATCAAAGAAGTCATTCCATGCACTGGATGAGCAAGATAACCATGTGGCACCATGCAATTAACAGTCTCCTGTTCACAAAAAAAAATTGTCATAAAAAAGTAAAATAATATATAATATTTAACAAATATATAAATATACCTGTAAAACTGATTGGGCAACAAGTTTTGAATTAGATGAAACTTGTTGGGATTTGGACCTGCGAGATTTGACTATTTTGCATTGTTTTTCAACAATGCTTTTCTTTCGTGTATTTCTTTGACCTTTAGGAACAGAACGTGGAGGATCCAATATGGTCCTCGATTCAGAAGCAGATTCATCTCCAGCAGTGCGGCGTTTCTGAATATCTAAGAAGTTTTTAATAGAATCATAACCTTGCTCATCACATACTTGCCTAGCTTCAGGAATACTAGCACTTGAAGCCAATATTGTATTGAATTTCCTAGTCATTTGAACTCTCCACACAGAATCTTCCAATATTTTCCCAAACAGAGTATCAGGTGCTTCAATATGAGATCGGCCCATATTTGGCAAAATAGCACCCTTCGTCCACCTAGACATTATATAATCTCGAGGAATACATTTCACACAATGAATGTTATATATACGCAAAATGTGTCTACAAAGAATGCCAACTTCTAAAAAACATCTTACAAGTGCATGTCACCGTGTTGTCATTTGCATTAAAACTAACGCTGTGTCTAATCAAATCTACACCGTCCAACCAAACATGATACACGCAATCATGACAATTCTGTGTTACTAATTTAAAAAAATGTGACATACCCTTCAAATATTGTTCTTGGAACAGTTTGAAGATCTCAAGGGTATACACATCTCTAGCATGAGTTAACAAACTATCTTGCAGCAGTACCATCTCAACAGTGCCTTCTGAACATCTGAAATCTTGACCATTTTCCTCTGACCTCCATTCCTCAACAACATCACCAAACATTTTGTAAAAGTCACACAATGTTGCAGTTTTTGAGAGTCTTCTAGATATGGATCTATTTGTAGATTCACTTCTTTGGGAGGATAGAATGCCACCAGAGAAATAATCCTTTGAAAATGCAGGACACCACTTTTCTTTATGACTGTAGAGCCTTTTCAACCATGTATTGTCACTGCATTCATACACTTTGTTCAACCTGAAACCAATTTTTAAAATAAAAACAATGTTACATATAAAATCAACGCAGGTTACACAAAAACAATACATAAGTTACACAAAAGAAAACATATGTTACAACACATAAATAACTTACTCAGTCCAGTAGAAATCAAACTCGGCAATAGTATCACATCGTTTAACAACATAATCAAATAAAGGAACAAAGTTCAGCTTCTTGCGTAGAAACATGATGTGTTTCTTGGAATTTTCATCTATATGCCAAGTGCAAAGTCTGTGTCTTGCGTTAGGAAAAACAGATTAGATAGCTGCTGCCATGGAAAATGACTGGTCTGTCATGAAAGTGATGGGGTGTTTACCACCCATAGATTTGAGGAATGTCTGAAATAACCAAACAAAAGATTCCACCTTCTCATTCAACATAAAACCACAACCAAACATTATGTTTTTACAATGATGATTCATACCAACGAAAGGACCACAGATCATGTCATACTTGTTAGTCCGATAAGTTGTATCATGAATAACTACATCTCCAAACCTATCATAATCTGATTTCATATGCCCATCTCTCCAAAAAAACAACTCAGGATACCATCATCCAAATCAAAATCAAAGAAAAAATCAGATTCCACTTCAGCCCTTTTCTTCAATATACCTATCAAAGTGTTTGAATCAGTGCCATCAAACATTTTACTCCTTTCAGATTCCAAAACATTATAAGCATCACGTTTGGTGAAACCAAGAGAACTAACACCTCCAGATTGCTTTTGAAGCATTCTGTGAATATCGGAAACCTTTGTCCCACTCTCCTTCATCAACATAATAAACTCAAGATATTCACGATCAACACCTCTATGTGATTTCAGCAAATGTCTTTGACCAATGGCACAAAAAGCATGATTGTGATGAATAATATGCTTCGAAACAGTCCAGTCACCATCAACACCAATAGAAAATTGTAACTTCGCTTTACAATCAGAACGATAATCTAGCTTCGTATAAGATTTGTTTTCAGTACCCTTTTGTAGTTTCTTTCCTTCTTTCCAACAACAATAAGACTTCATACTCAAACTTACATTTCCACTCCTAAACCTCTGTTTGTATCTACGAATACCAAATCCATTTTCAAAAGCATGATCGTTGTAAAGATTATAAGCATCCTGTTCACATTTGACACTAAATCCAACAAGTGATTTATTCTCTGTTGCCTGATCAACAGTTTCCAATGCATCTGACAATTTTAAAATCGTACATATCAAAACAAACAACTGCTAAATAAGTAGTTACACACAATTTCACAAAAGCTTACATACGATTAAACAGATGTTACATGTTGTTCAAAAAGCAGTTACATAGGATTGAACTAAACTTAACAGAACAAAATTGTATCAAATGACAGAAATATTACCTCTGCTGAGAAGAAATAACAATTTAGAAGCACATGAACAAGTATCTTCTTCACTAGAACCTAAAACAACAAAAAATCAACTAATATGAATACAACAATCCATATTTCAACGCCAAATAATAAAAAAGAGAACTGAAATAGAATATCATACTGCACATACAAACAAACGAAATGCATACAGCTCAAAACATTAAATAATTACCAATCCATTCAACAGCAACCGATTGATCAAATTCCAAGTTATTATCACCGGTTGAATGAATGTCGATATCGTGTATATTGGACGGCAAAGGATCGCGAAATTCAGTTGAAGAATTCAGAAGAACAGAATCAACGACCGAAAATTCCATTGAAAAGAGATGAGAAAAATCGCAGGAAAGTTTGTTAAACAGGGGAGAAGAGTTCGTTGAGCTGCGGAGAAGAGAAGAGTTTGTGAACCTAATTATTACTAAACTAAACGACGCCGTTTGGGATCGGCACACCATGCGCAAGGTGGGCCGATCCCACGGTATAATTTGCGAACCTCTTATATAAGAACTTATTTGACCTCTTTTATGCAACTTTGAGGACCAATCTGACCCTTTTCTCTTATTATAACCATAATCTGTAATAATTATAATGCGTACTCTTAATATATATTGACAGAAAAACAAAGAATAAAAATGTTAGTAAATGAGAGACAAACTAAAAATGAGAATGAATAGGTACACGCGCGCGCGCGCACACACACATATATGTACTAGCGATTGATCGCGCAAGGCGCGATAACTCATGCCCAATGTTTTTTTGGCAAAACATGCCCAATGTTAAATAATATTATTCGACCACCTTTATTTACGTGGATAATAGTCAGTAGTATTTTGATGAATTACAAAGTAAAAAAAACTTAACTCATTAAAACTCCAAAAAAAATATTGTTGATCATCTTAATTAATTTCCATGACATATGAGTAGAGGCGTAGACAAGAGGAGAAGTTCAACTTGATCAGTACAAAGAATTTTTTAGATATATTTGAGGAGAAATATTCATCATAGTAAAAAATTTTATATTATCATGTAAATACATACGAAGTATTTCACTACAAAAAAAATACTCGATTGACAGAGATTTTTGGTATGAGTTTCCCAAATTGCCAGGGATTTTGACATAGATATGCCAAATCCGTACCAAGGCATGGGCTATTTGACACGAAAAAATCAATAAATCCGTGTTAATCCCGTAAATTTTTTGTAGTGTTTGCTTCATTATTGAAAAAAAAAAATTGATGCAATTAACTATAAAAATGTCAAACTTGAAAAAGTTTAAAAAGTAAGTACATACGAAATTTGATTATTACTTTTATAATATAAATTGTTCACACATTACTTTATTTAAATGGCACGAATTTATCATAGTACGTAGTATTAAAAGTACTTGAATGTGTTTATGAATCAAGTAACGGAAGTTTATAGCATTAGGGTTATTAAAGTCATTTCAAAAGTTAGATATCATTTTCTAAGCATAATGTACATGTTTTTATGTTAAGATGTATTGACACAAATCAAGGGTATAACTTCCATTCACAAATATAATGTTGTTAGATATAGAGGGCAGTTCACATCAGGAGTTCCTGATGAGAAGCCCAGTGCGGACAAGACCATCAGAGGGTCTTCCCGGTGGAATTTTTTGATGACATTTTTTGAGCATGTTCTTCATGAAGTCTAGTTTGTCCATATCAAATTTCAGCTGAAAATTCGATCGGGAAGGCAGTCAAATAAATCCTGGAAAACTATGGCTCATTCTGCGCACATATAAAGTGCAGCATGTTTCAAGGATTTATTTGACTGCCTTCCCGATCGAATTTTTTGCTGAAATTTGGTAATGGTGTACTAAACTTGATGACGAACATGCTCAAAATATTTTATCGAAAAATTCATCCGGGAAGACCCTCAAAACGTGGAGGCCACACGGTGGCTCCGGTAAGGTATACCTTACTGGAAGTTTTTCCTATATATATATATATATATATATATATATATATATATATATATATATAGTCACGTTCCTATCAGTAGCTCCTGAAGAGAAGCCCCGTGCGGACAAACTCATCAGAGGGTCTTCCCGGTGGAATTTTTTGAGCATGTTCCTCATCAAGTCTAGTTTGTCCATACCAAATTTCAGATCAAAATTCGATCGGGAATGCAGTCAAATAAATCCTGGAAACATACTGAACTTTATATGTGCGCAGAATGAGCCATAGTTTTCCAGGATTTATTTGACTGCCTTCCCGATCGAATTTTGAGCTGAAATTTGGTATGGACAAACTAGACTTCATGAAGAACATGCTCAAAAACTTTCATCAAAAAATTCCACCGGGAAGACCCTCTGATGGTCTTGTCCGCACAGGGCTTCTCATCAGGAACTCCTGATGTGAACTGCCCTCTATATATATATCAGGCCGGCCTGACGGGCTTCTCATAAGGAACTCCTGATGTGAACTGCCCTCTATAAACTTCATGTCAGGCCGGCCTGACGGGCTGCTCCGTCCGGCCGAGCCCGTTTGGGCACCTTCCCGGTGGAATGTTTTGATGAAATTTTTTGAGCATGTTCCTCATCAAGTCTAGTTTGTCCATACCCAATTTCAGCTCAAAATTCAATCAGAAAGACATTCAAATTATTTTTTGAAGTTGACTGCAGTTTTATATGTATATTTTGACGCAGTCAACTTCAAAAAATGATTTGAATGCCTTCCCGATCGAATTTTGAGCTGAAATTTGGTATGGACAAACTAGACTTGACGAGGAACATGCTCAAAAAGTTTCATCAAAAAATTCCACCGGGAAGATGCCCAAACGGTCTCGATCGGACGGAGCAGCCCGTCAGGCCGGCCTGATGAGAAGAGCACTCTCTCTCTCTCTCTCGCTATATATATATATATATATATATATATATATATATATATATATATATATATATATATATATATATATATACATATATATATATATATATATAGATTTAGGTTCATGTGATAACTTAATCTTAGGAGAGTAAAAAAGATTAGATCTTAACCATTGGATTAGATTATAATAATCCGTGCACCTAAAGCTTCTCTAAGGGTAAGCAAGTCAATTTCAATTGACCGTTCCTACAATCCCTAAAGCTACGCTGCATGATTCCTTCTACAATTCTTTCCGAAGATATTTTCCTCCATATTCGTTCTTCTTTCCTTGTGCGAACGTACTGATCGGATATCATCCTTAGATCAGATTTCGCCCAGAAAGCGAAAGCATTGATCGGATTTCGGTGCTCTGTTATTCCTCCTTCGTCGTTCTTCTTTCCGACCCCCTTTCTCCTTGTTGAATTTGAAGCTATTGTATTCGGTCTATTGTGTTTTGATTATTTGGCTCCAGGCCAATGATTCCAGGGATTTCAGTAAGTATCAATCAGATGAATTTTGTCATTGTTTAAACTGTTCAAGTTTTACGTCTTGGACCTATGATTTTTACGTTGTATATGAATCATGGATTTAAAATTTGTGTTATGTACATGCTTAAATTCTAACTATTTTGTAATGCACTCTAATTGTATTATGATGGATATGCTTTTGGTTGGACATTGCACTTTTACTCTAGTGTCTGTTAATAGCATGCATTTGTTAATTTCTGAATATTTTTGTTTTGCACTTCAAACATTATTATGAAGCTCTTATATGCATTCTGATATTGCACTTTTACTATAGTGTGTATTAATAGCATATACTCTGTATTTGATAATTTCTGAATATTTTTGTTGCGCACTTTAAATATTATTATGATGCTCTTATATGCATTCTGATATTGCACTTCTTCATATTATTGTTGCATATCTTTAGATATATGGGTTTGTATTAACATATTTTTAGATTGATAGATTTCACTAGTAGTTTAGTGCATTTACATTGTCATATGATGCATTTAACACGTTTAATGTCGAACAATTTCGTAATAGTTATCTAATAACTGCTAATAAGATAATAATGATAAATTTTGTATCTAACTTTTAATGCACTTGTCAAATTTAATTCATGCACTATTCACTAGTTTTTATTGTACTTTGTTTTGCAGATAAAAGTGACACCAAGAGACCCTACCATATTGAAAATTGTGAAGCTTTCAGAATAAAAGTGCATTTCATTTAGTAAAAAGTGTCATAAAATATTTGAAAAGTGCGATATTTTGGTGCACTCTTATGTATACTTAAATGCACATAATAGAAGTGCATTTTATTTTCTAAAAGAGTGTCAATGAAGAGGTTTAGAAAGTCTGATATAATAGTGCACATTGGTATTATTCTAAATGCACGTTATAGTTATTGTTTACACCCTTGTATATTTATATTAGTTTTTATGATTTCTATCCCGGACTTGTATGAATGTGTAGAATTAAATGTTTAAAATGTTAATGTTATAGAAAGTGCAAATTAATGACATTAGGTTGCAAAAGCATCTAAATATTCAATTAAATTGATGACGCAAAATGTTTCAAATAAAAGTGCAACTATTAAACGTTTAAGTGCAAATATACAAAACTAAACGAGTGAAATATTACCTCTGAAAAGACGATTAAACGAGAAAAATTGCACAATTTGGATAGAGATTTTTATCAATTTTTTTTATTAAAATAATATGTGAGATAATACTAAATTTGATATGGAAAGAAAATTAAACAATAGAAAGTATATACTCGTATTAGATAGGAGGGAGGGGAGGTACGTTACTCCTTATTAATTAATAGCCTAATTTCTAGGATGTACTCCTATTATCTTGCCACATGCGTAATAACTACTTGGATGACATTTACCATGGTACCCCTTATTTAATTTTTAATTGAACGGTTGCCTTATATTAAGCCTATTGATCCGAAATTTGGTCTCTATTTCAAAAAATGCTAAGCCATTAGATCAAGTTAATGGAAGGCTAGATTTTGTTCCTTTTTACTCTCCTAAGAGGGTGTTCTCACAGGAACTAACCCCTATATATATATATATATATATATATATATATATATATATATATATATATATATATATATATATATATATATATATATATATATATATATATATATATATATATATATATATATATATATATATATATATATATATATATATATACTAGTTTGTAAACGCGCCATGCGCGTTTGCCAAGATGCCCAAGCATTTTATTGACGGTGTACAATTCATTTGTAACACTAACACATATTCATGGGTGGACCCTGAAACTTCATGTTGGGGCAAATTATTTTTTGAAGAATCAAAAATTATTTTTTGAGGGTGTGAAAATTATTTTTCTTATATACTCCCACCGTCCCGCAAAGAAGTTCCCGCTTTCCTTTTTAGCAGTCGCAAAAAGAAGTTCTTATTTTCTTAATTGACAACT